GCGCGCGGGTGCGCGGGTGCGTGGGTGCGTGGGTGCGTGGGTGCGTGGGTGCGTGGTGCGTGGGTGCGTGGTGCGTGGGTGCGTGGGTGCGTGTGTGGTGCGTGGGTGCGTGTGGGTGCGTGTGGGTGCGTGTGGGTGCGTGTGGGTGCGTGGGTGCGTGTGCGTGTGGGTGCGTGTGGGTGTGGGTGCGTGTGGGTGCGTGTGGGTGCGTGTGGGTGCGCGTGTGGGTGCGTGGTGCGTGTGGGTGCGTGTGGGTGCGTGGGTGCGTGTGGGTGCGTGTGGGTGCGTGTGGGTGTGGGTGCGTGTGGGTGCGTGTGCGTGTGCGTGTGGGTGCGTGTGGTGCGTGTGGGTGCGTGTGGTGCGTGTGGGTGCGTGTGGGTGCGTGTGGGTGCGTGTGGGTGCGTGTGGGTGCGTGTGTGTGCGTGTGTGTGCGTGTGTGTGCGTGTGTGTGTGTGTGTGTGTGTGTGTGCGGGTGTGCGTGCGTGCGTGCGTGCGTGCGTGCGTGCGTGCGTGCGTGCGCGTGCGTGCGTGCGTGCGTGCGTGCGCGTGCGTGCGTGTGCGTGCGTGCGTGCGTGCGTGCGTGCGTGCGTGCGTGCGTGCCCGCGTGCGGGCGGGCGGGCGGGCGGCGGGCGGGCGGGCGGGCGGGCGTTCGTGCGTGTGTGCGTGCGTGCGTGCGTGTGTGCGTGTGTGTGTGTGTGCGTTTGTGTGCGTGTGTGCGTGCGCGCACCCAGCACCCGCGCACCTCCTTCGCCCCCGCTCCCCCGCGCGCGCTGGTGCGCCTCGTCGCACCGCTGGGGCGCTCGGTGCGCCGGCACCGCCCCTCGGTATCGCTCGGACGTATGCACTTTTTCTCGGCGGGGATTACTAAGGAGCATCCTGGACCATCCGCGCGAAACTCCAAAAAACAGGAAATGGACGTCCGAGCGATGGCCAGACCCTCCCGGGTGTCCCGTCGGCGACCGACGGCTCCGCGAGGATCGACGGTCTGTCCGCGAGGATTTTCGGCCATCTAGTTGCCCGGAGGCCCCCGGCCCCAGCTCCCTGGGCGTGGCGTAGCGGGGGGGGTCATATGTCGGGTATGGCCAGGACCCCAGGTAAGGGGACCCGGTTAGTGGTAGGGCCCTGGAGCTCCTGAATTGGCCAGAATCACTAAACCAGGTCTGCCGTAGCTGGTGTTTTCTCGGGTGACGGCAGTTCCGGTCAGTGGAACGGGGCAGGGGGGGCGTCCCCTAGAATGTGGGGGGACGGCGAGGTTGGTCCGAAAAGGTACCCGCCGAACGGTACCTCAACGAGCCCCCTGGAGCTCCAGAAGGGCCCGAAAGAGGTACGAGAGGGGACCATTTCTGACCCCCCCATTAAGCCACTCCCAAGCCCTGATCCTCTAGGCCTTCCAAATGGGGTCGGCGGAACAGATGGGATCGGAGGCTCGCGCCACATCGCCAGTGCATCGGCAACGCGGCTCTGATGCGGAGCCCGACTTCTCTCCACGCCGACGTCGCCGATGAACCTCCCACTTCGCCGATGCATCGCCGATGCATCGGCGATGCATCGGCGACGCATCGGCGATGCGGTGCAATGCTCCGACCCAAGCTACTGCTAAGGCGGGCATGTCCCTCTACGGAGGAGTATGCAAGAAGAGTTGAAGAGTGAAACATAAGTCTGGTGACGATTGTTCGTGCTCTTGTGACTATGTTTGAATATCTGCTTTGACTTGTTTTGATTTTTCGTCCAAAATCCGCCTGTAGGATGAGTTGAAGAATAGTCTGTTGACGATTGTTCGTGCTCTTGTGACTATGGTGGAACATTGTTTGATTTTTCCTCCCAGATCCGCATATAGGAGGACACGACCGACCGAAATCTACTCTGGCCCCATCTGAGAGTCCTCTAGTTTTTCCGCTCAGTAAACGTGGAAGGGTCGAGGATTGCAGGAAAGTGGCCTTGAACGGCCCTGAACGGCCCCTGAACTGCCACCGCGGGCCCAAAAGGTACACGAAAAGGCGGCGCACGTTTCCTTGAGCTGGGCACGTCCCTCTACAGGAGGCATATCCGAGGATGGTCAAAACATAGTCCGGGGACGATTTGTCGAGCACGCGTGACCATTTTGGCATCTGTTTTGACCCTTTTTTGAATTGTACCTTTTTTTGAATTGTACCTCGCCCGTGCCTCACGCCGCCACCCGGAGCATTGCTGCTACGGCCCCGCCGAGAGGCCGGGCGGCATGCCCAGGCTCCCGGAGGCCCCTCCCTCCGGCCCACCCACTCGGGCCGGTGGGTGCCTAAAAGGAGGGGTCCTTGAAGTCGGGCACGTCCCCCTGCAGGAGGAAGATGCCAGAGTAGTGCCAACAGCAGTCTGGGGACGAGTTCTTTTTTACCATGCTGGATCAAGTGGGGGCTTCTTTGACTGGTTTTCCTCTTCGTCCAAAGTCCTCCTGTAGGGGACATGCCCGACCTAAGGGGACCTAAAAGGGCCCTGGACGGGCCCTATAAAAGGGGCCCTAAAGGAGCCCGAAAGGGGTTAAAGGGACCCAGAGACCCCTAAAGGAACCTGAAGGGGACCCATAAGGTGGCCCTGACGGGAGCCGAAAGGGTACCTGGAGGGACCCCAAGGGGGGGTGAAGAGAAGGGACCTGCATGGGGCCCTGTTAGGGCCCCTTCGGGAGCCAACGCTGGCCAGCCCTGGAGGCCAGCCCCCGCTGGCCTTGTCAGCCCCCGGTGGCCCCGTCGGCCCCGCGGACGGCGCCCGCTGTTCCGTCCTGCCCGCCCCGCTGACCAGGGCGCTCGGGGTTGGTCGTGGTGGTGATCGGGACGAGACGGCGAGTGAACGCTTGAACGTGTGCTTGCTGGACGCGCGTGGGAACACACGCATCAGTGGGTGATGCCAGAGCCTCGGCTCGGAGGAAAAAAACACACGAAACAAACAAAAATAACGTCCCGCCCGGCCCGTCGACAGGCGGCCGTAGCGACCGCGACGTCCGCATGGTGCCCGCCGGGCCTGGCTGACCTCCATCCTCTCATCGATTCCTGTCGGGGGCAACGATCGGGGGGGATAGGCATACCCCGAGATCCTGGCGTTTATTTTTTTTGGCGTTTGCGCTCAATTTCGGGCCGTGGGACCCTCACAGATCGATCCGGCTCGAAAAATGACGCAGAAAGATGGGGCGTGATTTGTCACGATGTTGTATTTTTTTGCAACGTCGGATCTCAGGGCAGGGGGGATGTATCGACCCCAAATCGCCCGTCGATCGCCGATAGGCGCCCGATAGCCCCAACCTGCCTGGGAGCGTGCGGATTCAACGTGAGAGGCCTGTCGCCGATCTATCGGCGATGCATCGCCGATCAATCGGCGATGTACCGCCGATACCAGGTCGATGTTTCCCTCCGTATGTGAGGCCTCCCTACCGTTGCCCCTCATACCACAAGTAAGAGAGAGTGACCCTTCGCCGGAGTGACCTTTTGGTGCGGGCCCATTGGGGTCCCCCGATGGCCGAACGCGATGCGGTAGTAGCGTCTTGAGCGCTTGTGTTGGCCCCCCCCCCGCGGCCCCCAAAAAGTCGCGCACCAAAGGTCACCATTTTGGGCACGGTCACTCTTGCGTGTAGCCGACTTTCAGCCTGTCTCACGCCGCAACCGGATCAACAGCGACGGCCTCAACGAGAGGATCGTTGGCGTGCCTTGGCTCTTTTCGCACCCTGCGTTCGGACCTCCCGCTGCTCCATCGGATCAATAGATCGTGACGGCATCAAGGTGCGGATCGATGGTTTTTTTTTGCAGTCCCAGGTGTGCCTCACCTCGGATGAACGCTCCTTGCGGGACTCCCGTGCGGTAACTTGCTGCCCCCCGGCGACCACAATGCCGTACGGCCTTTGGCAGCGTATCCCTTGGGACGCACAGCTGCCAGCCTGGCCGCCGGCGCCGCCGGGCCCGCTGCTGCCGCCCGCTGTTGTAACCCGCCGCCGCTCCTCAGGGGCATGGCACGCTAGCGCCCGTTTGGTGCCGCCTCCCGCTGCTCACCGCTGCTGCCCGCTGCCCGCCGCCCCCCGCAACTGCCCCGTGGGGGGAGGCGCCCCCCCTTGCACTTGTCGGCTATCTAGGGATGATCCTTGGTAGGCTCGCTTTGCCTGGCTTTGACTCTGAGAGCGCTCAAGCGGATTTCGCCCCATCTGCGTGCGACCCAAAGAAGTGTGCCTGTGTGTGTGTTTGTGTGTGTTTGCGTGAATGTGTGTGTGTGTGTGTGTGCGTTTGTGTGTTTGTTTCGTGTGTGATCGTCGATGCGACTGGAAGTGCAACTCTGCTGCGCACTTGCAGTTGTGGTGGTGGCATCCGTCGTTGCAGAAGTTGGCTCTTGGCTATGGTTGCCGATGGCCCTACTGGAATTATGTTGTGGTGCATGTTCTTCTTATCCTGTGTGTCTCAAGGCACGGCGTGCACTTGACAAGCTTGGCCCGCCGCGTTGCCGCGCAGTTCTTTTCGACATTAACGCGTCAATAGATGCGATGTGTCTTTCAGTGCGTGCCATCTGCATGCGATTCACACATCGGTGTAAAATCGATATGTGTAAAAGTATCTTATATTATATCATTGTACCTTATATCATATTGTATTATATTATATCGCAGTATATAAATATAATTATATTATATTATGATGTATTGCATTCGATTATATTATATAGTCTTATATTTTACGATATTATAGCATAGATCTATGGAGCATATTATCAGATGGTAGTATAGTACAGCCCATGAACGTACAGTATAGTGTATTAGGTTTATAGTAGATATGCACGTGGGAATAGTTATGTCTGTGAGTGTGCTTGTGTGTCTGTGTGTATGTGTGGTTTGGCTGTGTGTGTGGCTGGGCCGAAAGAAGTAATAGCATGACATGGCGCCCCCATGCTTCCTCGTTATTGCCAGCTGTTCCTTCACGAGCTGTCCTCCTAGAGTGCTGCTGCTGCTCCTCCCTGGCCCTCAGACCCCTCCGGGAGGCGGCGAAGAGCGCGTCATGAGCGCGCTGCACGAAGTCTCGCAAGTCCCGCGCATAGCGTTAGGGACGATTGTAGCTTTGGGTTCCAGCTTCGCGGCCGCAGCTCAAGTAGCTTCTACACGGGCGCTCAGCAAGATAGGGAGAGGAGGGGGAGGATAATGAGGGGACAGAAGAGGGGAGAGTTTGAGGAAGCAGGGGGATCGAGGAGAAGAGGGAATCAAAGATAGATGGATGGAGTAAAGGAGGAGGGAGGCAGGAGGCAGGAGGCAGGAGGCAGGAGGCAGGATGCATGAGGCAGGAGGCAGGAGGCAGGAGACAGGAGGCAGGAGGTAGGAGGTAGGTGGTGTGAGAGAGAGGGAAAGGGAGGGAGAAAGAGGGATATATATATATATAGAGAGAGAGAGAGAGAGAGAGAGAGAGACACACACTCATGAAGGAGAGCCAGAGGTAGGCGTAGACGCAGATGTATATGTAGAGAGAGAGAGGGAGAGAGAGAGAGAGAGAGAAAGAGAGAAAGAGAGAGGGAGTTGTACATATTGTATTTAGTGCCGTTTGACCCATCCCGCCATTGTGCCTGGCTTTTGGTTCAAATGCGTTTTGTGTGCCTCTTATGTCTCTCGGGACTTATTTTGGGGGGCCGATTGGAGGCCTCTAAAAGGCCTCTTAGGGCCTCTTGCGGCGTCTTAGGGGCCTTCGGGGGTCTCTTGGCGGCATCTTCCGGGTTTTTGTTGGGGGGCATCCTGGGGGGAAAGGCTCCCAAAGCTCCTTCGCATTCCTTCTCTTGGCCCCCTCTTCAGGCCCTTTTGCAAGCCTCGGGTGCTTGTGTGCCGTTGTGGGGCTCTCTGGGGCCGCCTTGGGGCCCTCTTAACGGCGTGTTGGGCCGTCTTGGGGCGATCTTCACCATCACCATCATCATCGTCGGCATCTTCCCCATCGAAATCGCCACCACCTCAGCGTCGTCATCGACACGACCATCGTAATCGTCGTTGTCGTCGCCCTCGTCGCCAGCGTCCTCCTCATCATCATCATCAGCAGCATCATCACCATCATCACCATCATCATCACAATCATCATCAGCACCATCAGTACCCGAATATGTTTCACCATCACCACCGTCATCACCATCGTCATCATCAGCATCAATATCAGCATCGTCATCACCGTCGTCATCGTAGTTCTCGGAGTCATCATGCCCATCATGACCTTGATCATCATCATCATCGTCATCATCATCATCCTCGTCATCGTCATCGTCATCGTCATCATCATCGTCATCATCATGGTCATCTTCATCATCACCGTCACCATCACCATCATCACCATCATCACCACCCTCATCATCATCACCATCATCTTCATCATCTTCCTTCCCAGTGCTCGTTCGCCCTCATCGCGGATCTTCATGACGGGGGGCCGCGGTGCAAATAAGGCCATGCGGCTCGCCGCCGCAGAGCTGGAGGCGGGGCGGCGGCCAGCAGGAAGGGCGGGCAGGTTCGGCGCTCCGAGCTCGGGGAAGTGTTCTGCCTTTGTCGGCCTCCGGGGGCCGTTTTCGGGCCCTGGGATAGTGAAAAATCGGAACCTCGCAAAGGGGGGGGGGCCACAGGGGGGGGTGAGTTCGGTGCGTTGGCGCATCGAGCCGCAGAAACAACATGCAAAACGAGGTCTCCGGCCGCCGCCAGAACCCGAGAGGCGTCGACAAATGGGGCGCGCGGGGGGCATCGTTTTTCGGACGTTCGATGCACCAGCGAATCGAACTCACCCCCCTCCCCCTCAGGGCCCTCCCCCCCCTCTTGGTGGGCCCCGAAAAAACTGATCTTGGATGACAGGCTGCACCTGATGGACCCTGGGAGGGGCCCCGGCACCGATCTTGAGCGGACTTAGCCTCATCCCCCCCCCGTTGTGACCGATTTTCGGGGGTGCCAGCAAGTTCGGACCCCCTGGCCGCCTCCAACTTCGAGCCCTCACTTTGGCAGCCGGAGGGCTCCCTCGTCGCGGCCAGGCTCGTCTGGAAGGCCAGCTGGAGTCTTGCCTGGGGGGGCGCAGGCGCACCTTGCACCGGTTGGCAGCTGTGCGCCGAGGTATGGGGGAGGAGGAGGAGGCGGAGGAGGAGGAGGGGGAGGAGGAGGGGGAGGGGGAGGGGGAGGAAGAAGGGGAGGGGGGCAAAGGATGATCCTGAAGTCCGTGCCGAGGAGGATGGGAACCCAGGCCACCTCGCGACGTGCAAAGAAAGCGCGGCTTCGTTTGAGACAGGTTCTGGGCAAGAAGTGTCGTGTTTGGTGCGCGGCCCCGAGGGGGCCTTCCGCGGCCCATCTGGCCTGCTGCGTCCGGACTGAGCGAACCCACGGCGCTCACAGAAAGGGCGTCGCCGAGAAGAGCAAAAGGCAGAGAACAAGTTGTCTGGTCGGGTTCGACAGGATCAGCGGAGGCTTTGCGTTAGAAACCCAGAGGGGTCAGGATCTTCGTTCTCTCGGTCACAATGAACCGTATGAGTGATATTGTGTCATAGCCCCCGCAGTTGCGGATAAGAGTAAGAGTGGTGGGGCGGAGTGACAACAGCATCGGCTATCGTTGTAATCTTGGTCGCTTTCCGTTGCTCGCGTGTCATTCAACATGCGTAACCCCAAAGGCCTCCATGCCTGCCCCTGTCGTCTTCGATCGTGTCCATATGGTGTATATATTATCAGAGTGAGGGAGCCGAGCGGACACTTATTGTCCCTTGGTCCGTGGCAAAAATGGGGTTCCGCGGAGCGGATTGGTTTTAAATATGTTTGATGATAATTATTGTTGCCCCCCCCTTCCGGTGACCATTGTATCTTTTCAATTCGAGTGTTCTTCCTCCTGGAGCTCGCACCTTGCTATGTTATCGTTGAAAGCTTGGGGTCATTAAACTGTATTGTTGCTCGGTCTACAGCAACAGCGGCTCCCGCCTTACCTTCAATTTCTTCAAAAATCGCGCTACCGCGCGGGACTGTTTCTCAATGCATGCAGGAATCGCGCTCTCACGTGGGGCTTCCTCGCATTTTATTCAGACGCCACGCCCTCGACACTCAGGAATTACGCTCTCGTTATGGCCTCTCTTGCGATGTACTTTGGAATCGCTCTATCGCTCGCGACTTATGCAGGACTCACGCTTCAGTAATCCGTCTGCTCGACCTGGCCGCCGGGGCCCGCCTTCCCGACACGCCTGTTGGGGTCTACCCGCCCGATCTGCCCGTGTGGTTCTGCCAGGTGTTTTCTGCTCCTGACCCCCCTTTCCTGCTAATCTCTCTCCTGCTTCATTATTCCTCCTCCCCTTTTATCCGTCTTCTCTTCCCATGGTTTAGGGATTGCGCTAAACACACGTGGATTATACCTCTTCGGGGGTACGATCGAACGCGGAGAGGGCGGGTACCGAGGGTGTGTGAGATACGTGTAGAATGGCACGCGGGCAGGTAGGATCGAACATCCTTGAATTCATTGTTGTTGTTGTTGTTGTTGTTGTTGTTGTTGTTGTTGTTGTTGAATATTATTACTTCTAAAGAATAATTATTGTTGGGCCCCCTGGTGCACGCCCCCCCCGCCGCGCCTAGGCCGCAGCCACGTTTTCATCATTTTCGTGAGGAAGCCTCAGGTAAAACGATGTGATCCAGATCCGGTTGTTTTGTTGTAATCCGTTTTCCCTTGCAAAAAACACTATAAAATGACATTTCTTGTTCTAATATAATCAAATTTCAAGAATCCCTTGCAAAAAATAAGGTAAAGTGGACATTCGCGCGCGCAAGACGAAATCCTTCCAAAAGCTTAGTGTTCGGAGCGATTTTAACATAAAAACATCAAAAAACCAATGGTTTTTCAACAAAAAAATGTCAAAATCTCATCCCGCGCGCTCTTGCGGATTCGTAGGAAACCCAACACTTTTTAAACATTTCTGTCAAACGGGCTTTTGCGAGCAACTTTTTCGAACTTCTGCGACAACGGTTGCGCACCTGCCAGGGCCATCATCCCTGTCAAATAATACCATGCGGGACACATTCGTTTTTTCTTCGCGCGCGCACGCCGAAATCTCCAAAAACCATTGGGTTCTTAAGAATTTTAGCACCGCGCATCATAAAATCACACGAATCGCACCGTAGGTCCTCGAAAAACACCTGCACGACTTTTCAAAATTTCTACCCGCCCACATGTACCATATGCATCATATGCAACAGATGTTCTGTGGAAGGCTTAACAACTTCTGTGGGTTAACAAGGCTTAACAACTTCTGTGGGTGTACGAACGTAGGCTTAACAACTTCTGTGGGTGTGTACTCCACGCCAGTGTAGTAGCCACGGTCGTCCGCAGGCCACGAAGTGAAGTGTCCGAACGTCATAGGGCGGGAAGCTGGGTGTGGGTGGTGGCGAAGAGTCGTGTGGATATTTGGTAGAGCTTGCACTGCCCCCCCACAAAGTGGGGGTATTGGCTGGCGTCGCATGAAAACCCTGGCACTGGTGAGAACACTGAGCGTTCGGGTAAAGTGATTGTTGTTGTTGTTGTTGTTGTTGGTGGTGGTGTTGCTGTTGTTGATGTTGAATATTCATTTCCAGAAAATTCAGTATTGCTTATGTCTGGAAACGGTTCCGGACGCTCTCGCCTCGACGCCGGCTACAGTTTCTCTGAAAACGAGGATCCCGCTCGAGCGTTGGCTTGAATGTAAAAGTGTGCCCTTGGAGGCCCGGCTACGACGACGACGACGGCTCCCGTTCGATGCTTCCTCACTATACCCCGAGACAACCTGGCCAAAAAGGCCCCCGAACTCAGGAACGGCGCTCTCGCTTGAGACTTCTTCGCAATTCAGCAAAGTTGGCTGGGGCCCAGCCACGACGACAAGGGCTTCTGTTCGATATGTCCTTGCGATTTACTCCGAGAGTCCCTTGCCAGGAAGCCCCCCGAACTCAGGAACGGCGCTCTCGCTCGAGACTTTCTTCCCCATGATTCAGCCAAATTGGTCCAACTACGACGACAAGGGCTCCCGTTCGATAACTCCTCAAGATGTATACGCAGAGGCCCTTGCCAGAGAGGCCCCCGAACTCAAGAGTTGCGCTCTCGCCCGAGACGCCCTCGTCATTCGGTGAATTTGGTGGAGGCCAAGCCGCGACGACAAGGGCTCCCTTTCGATACTTCCTCAAGCTGTACTTCGAGAGCCCGTGGCCCGTGACAGTAATTCAGTAGCGCCGCCGGAGGCCCACCTGCGACGACAGGGGCTCCCGCTCGGCATGCCCTCGCAATGTACTCCTACACGCCCTGGCCAGAGATGCCCCAGCACGATGCTCATTGAGGCCTTCGGACACAGCCCACAGAAGCACCAGGCGCGACCACAGGGGCCCCAGCACACTGCCCACTGAGGCCCCCCGACACAGCCCACAGAGGCCACCGCTTGCCCACAGCCCGCAGAGGCCCCAAACGCGCCCACGGAGGCCCCAGCCGACAGAGGCCCCAGCGGACAGAGGCCCCGAGCGCGCCCACAGAGGCCAACAGAGGCCCCAAGCGCGCCCACTGCGGCCCCTCAACACAGCCCACAGAGGCCCCAGGCGCGCCCACAGAAGCCAACAGAGGCCCCAAGCGCGCCCACAGAGGCCCCAGCGCGCTGCCCACAGAGGCCCCCCGACACAGCCCACAGAGGCGCCAAGCGCGCCCAGTGAGGCCCAAGCGCGCTGCCCCATGAGGCCCCCCCAACACAGCCCGCAGAGGCCCCAGCCCACAGAGGCGCCAAGCGCGCCCACGGAGGCCCCCGCGCGCTGCCCAGTGAGGCCCCAAAACACAGCCCACAGAGGTCCCAGGCGCGCCCACAGAGGCCCCAGCCAACAGAGGCTCCAAGCGCGCCCACAGAGGTCCCAGCACGCTGCCCACAGAGGCCCCCCCGACACGGCCCACTGAGGCCCCAGCCCGCAGTACTTTCTCACGATGTACTCCGAGGGGCCCTCTCTCGTGCTCCATCTTCTCCCTCCCCCATCCCACTTTTCTTCCCCTGTTTTGGAGGCTGCGCTACATGGGCGTGGCAGGTAAGGGAGATATACCCCCGCGGGGGCACGGTCGAAGACGAAGAGGGCGGGCATCGAGGGTTTAGGATATACGTATTGAGTGGCACGGGATCAAGCCAAAGCGAACAGTCTGACATTGAGTGGTGTTGTTGTCGTTGTTGTTACTTTTGGTGTTGGTTTCTGTTGTGTAGTTGTTGATGATGATGTTGTTGTGGTTGACGTACTTGCTGCTGCCGCTTACTTTGCTTATTGTTGCTGGTGGTGCTTTTGTTTTTGAGATCACATGTCTAGATCATAATAATTAGTACTGTGGTCCTCCACGGTTTCGCGCACGTTGTTTACAGGGAAATTGGGGTGTCACCAACCTCAGTTGTTGGGCCCCGAACAACAACAACAGCAGCAGCAACAAAAACAGCGGCTTCCGCGTGATACTTCCTCACAATAGATTCCCAAATCGCGCTCTCGCGCGGGACGTCGTCACAACATATGCAGGGATCGCGCTATCGCGTGGGAGGGACTTCCCCGCAATCTATTCAGACGCCACGCCCTCGACAGGCAGGAATCACGCTCTCGCTGTGGATTTCCTCTCGGTATATTTGGGAATCGCGCTATGCAGGACGCATGTTTCAGCAACCCGCTTGCTCGACCTGGCCGCCTGGGCCCGCCTTCCTGACCCGCCCGGTCGGGTCTACCCGCCCGATTTGCCTGTCTAGTTCTGCCACGTGCTTCCTGCTCCTAGCCCCCGTCCTGTTAATCCCGTGCTCCATCCTTCTCCCTCCCCTTTCCATCTATCCTCTCTTCACCTGTTTCAGGGGCTGCACCAAGTACACGCGGCTGGTCAGGAAGACATACCCCCAGAGGGGTAGTACGCTGGGATACGTCACGTGTGATGCAGCATCTGTGATCACAGATCTTGCAGCACATTGCTTACATCGCATAGGGTTCACCGCGTGGATTGCACCACGGAACTTACACCACAGTTTGCACCATCCATTTGCGCGCCGCCTAGCTTGCGCTACATCCCTTTGTATATCAACTAGATTGCACCACTTAGCTCACCCCCCATTCTTCTGCATCTACAGTGTACAACTTATATTTTACGCAGGAGTTGGCCCAGAGTGTTGCCGAATTTGTCGCAGTGCCGCCCGTGGAAGCCCAGTGGCCGCATCGTGCCTTGGGTGTGTGTCCGGCGAGGGTTCGCCACGTTGCCGCCTGTGGCCGCGTCGTGGCCGCCTCGTCCGCCCGTGGGCGTTTCGTGGACGCCTCCTTGCGCTGGGTGGGTCTGGCGAGGTGTCGCCATATTTCCGCCCGTGGCCGCTTCTACGTTGCTCCACGTATGATGCTGCATCTCATATGGAGGTGTCGCTCCGTCACCGCCCGTGGCTGCCTCGCTGTTCACACCGCATAGTTCACACCGCATAGCTTGCAAAGTGGCACACACCTGCACACCATCGCTGTTACACAACACGGCTTGCACCACATAGCTTACACCAATGTGGCTGCCCGCGGACGTCTCGTGGGCGCCTCGTTTGCGCCGTGTGCTTGGGGCGGCCAAGTAGTGTTGTTTTGTAGATTCCTCAACCACTACTTGCACTCAGGGGTTCTTACTTTCGTCACTGAAGCATGTTATGGGTCTGGCGAGGAGTTTGCAAGTTGCCGCCCGTAGCCGTCTCGTGGCCGCCTCGATGGGTTTCGCCACATTGCCGTCCGTGGCCGCCTCGTGCGCCGGGCGGGTCGGGCCAGGTCTCGCCATGTCGCCGCCGGTGGCCGCCTCGTGGCCGCCTCGGGCTCTGTGTGGGCCCAGCGAGGTTTGGCCACGTTGCTGGCCGTGGCCGCCTCGTGGGCGCACTGTGCGTACACTATATAGCCCACACCACATCGATTGCACCACCTATCTTACACCTCGTAGCGCATACCACACTCTATATATATATATATATATATGTGTACATTTTGCATAACATAGCGTACACTGCACAGCTCACAGATCATGGCCCAGACCATGTATTACACTACAGCTTGAGTCACAGAATTTGCACCACACATGCATTGCACTGCATACATCGCACCACGTAGATAGCACCACATAGCTTGCACCACACAACTCACACCATCGGTGTTTCATCTCATAGATTGCACCACTTAGCTTGCACCATTCATATCGTACCACATACGTTGCACCACAAAGCTTACAATGCATCTCTGATACTACATCGATTGCGCGACCACATATTCTGTGCCGCATGACTTACAACTCACGGGTCAGGCCACATGGATCACATGTCATAGATCATGCCACATAGTTTACACATGCAAAGTGCAATGTTCATTGTTTGGGGATCCATGCTGGCAAATGTGTTGTTGATGTTTTTTTTCGTGGGACTCGGTGACCGTGATGGTTGGGTTGAGTGGTTTGTGGAATTTGACTTGATAGCGCACTGCTGCGATCTTAAAGTCATGCGTTTGTATTACTACGGTGCGGTAACCAGGGGGGAAACGAGGGAACCCACTTATCCTCGTCACCTCCCACTCTTCCTTCAACGATATTCGGGATGCTTGCTGTGTCAAGGCGTGCTGCTGCAGTAACTGCATGGCAGGAAGATTGGATGGCGTCCTGCGTGCATACTGCTCTGGAGTCCTGCCGCAACTCATTCTGGCTCAAGTGCAAGCATCAATTTCTGTGCACTTGCAGCCGATCCGCTACATACTTTGGTTCACACCGAAGGTACAAATTCAATCATGGGGTGCGCGCATGCCGCACTGCTCCTCTCTTGCTTCGGCAGGGTGGTGTCAATCACGAAGGTGACCGAGCACCTCGACGTGACGATTCTGGCAGTTGGTTCCTCTGGCGGTGGGAAATCGACGCTTCTGAATTCAATGGGAAGTGGCAAGGATGCTTTCCGCGTGTGCACGGGCACTGACATTTGTACGAAGCGCGTCTCCAGTAACGACTATTTGAAGGATGTCAGCGGAGCAGATGGGACGAAACACCAGGTCAGGCTCACTTTGGTGGACTCTCCAGGCTTCCCCAACCCCAAGGGCATTGTGGACGCGTATGATGCGGTAATCTATGCAACTCGGCGCGCTTTGAATGCGGTCGTCTGGGTGGTAAAGCCAGATCGCACTGGGTCTGCTTCCGCAGAATTGCTGCGCAACCGCGTATTTCTTCAAGAGTTCAACCAGTTGCGCGTCCCGATCTTCCTAGTTGTCAATGCACATGATGATTTCGAGGTGGATGCTAAGAGTCTTGCCAGTCGCATTAGTTCGCTGAGGGAGTTCGGCGAAGAATGCGCACAGAACGCAGGTCTCTCCATTGCAGGGCGGTTTGTGTCACTCAACAAGACTGACTTGGAGCAGACAGCCCAGGCTGTTTTGCGCAGGGCAATGCCTCTTGAACCCCACAAGTCTTTCCTGCGGAGTTGGCACCCAGAAGACGTAGCAGCAGAAGTCATAACAAATGGCAAGGACACGCGATTGAAACAGCTGGAAGAACACGTAGCGACTCTGCAGGCATTAAAGCCAAGTCTCTTCTTGCAGGCGATGCGTGGCAACATCGATTTTCACCCATTTTGGACCGATGAAGATCGCCGAGGGATCACCGACGATACCACTTATCTTGAAAAACGCATCGGCGATCTGAGGCGAGAACAAGCTGATCTGGAGTCTGTCGATGCATCAGAGGTGGCAAGATTGCTTCGATCCGAGTGGTCCGCCAAGGCGAAAGCGGTGGGCGCCGCGATGCCGACGGTGGATAAGAAACGCGTCGAGCTCTGAGCGGGCACTTGAGCTAGAGGCGGCCTGGCAGTCCAGGCGGGGGGCGGAGCATCCAAACTAAATACCGTTGAGCCAGTGCAGCGTTGCAAAGTTCCCAGCACGAGCGACCTCGTGTCGTCATCGTCAGGAGTGCGCCCCCCATTCGGCGGCGCGCCGGGGGGGAAGTGCGTGGGAGCAGGCTCTCTCAGAGTAGGGCGGGGCTACTCAGAAGCCCCCTTCGGCAGTCTGAGACACCCTCGTTGTGGCTTCCCGAAGGTCTAGGCCTCCTGGATGGGGTCCGGGTAAATGGGGTCGGAGGATCGCGCCGCATCGCCGATGCATCGCCGATGCGGCTCGATGTGGGGCCCGATTGGCTTTACGTCGACGTCGCCGATGCATCGTGGATGCATCGACGATGCATCGGCGATGCGGCGCGATCCTTCTTCGACCCCATCCACTTGGACCCCATCTCGGAGGCTTCTAGGGTAGACCGTTCCCTTTTTGAGAAGGCTCTGCTCCCTCGGCCTTCCTCCCGGGCGCGCCGCCCACCCACGCCCTCTGTGCCCGCACCCTCCCCTCCCTGCTTCGTCAGGGTGCGCTGCCGCGCGCATCCGCTGCAAGGCTGTTGCAGTCGACCCGCATAGTGAGCATGGGCAGCCTTCCTAAAGGGTGCCCCCCCTTGCCTCCCTGCCTCCTCGGCCCATCCTTGGCTACTTTCGTTGGCCGTGCACCCCGCTCGAAGAGCGTCGAAGCGGGCGTCCAAGGCCCTTGCGTCCTTATCGCGCATATTTGTGATGCGGGCCGACTGTAGGGGTGGGCGGGTGGTTGAGCGCTGCTCCAGAAGCACGCACGGACAAAGGCAGGGCCCATCGCACACCAGCCATGAGACAGTTGGAACTTGAGGGAGCAATCGCCGGTGCAATTATTACGTGACCAATGGGGTGATTCATAAGGTAGTGTGAAGTTAGCGTCGGTTATCTATCCCTACTTGCCTCGTCTTCCCTCTCCCTCTCTCTCTCTCTCTTTCTCCCTCTCTCTCTCTCTCTATCCGCTCCTCCTCTCCTCTCCACCTCCTAGTCGCCGTCGGCACTCGAGACCAGAAAGCCGACCGGGAAGGAAGTGTATCGAACACACCTTCACATGACTTCTTCCCCGCAGAGGCTTGGGCGGGAGCAGGGGGCGAGGCAAGATGGCACTAGGAAGCTCCTACATCAGCTTGCGGGAGCCGAATGGTCATCCACGGTCTCTGGGCGCTTGGCTGAAGCGGGGGTCCGTGGTGCGGGTGTGTTGTCGTTGTGTTGTTTTTGTTGCCGGTCTTGTTTTTGCGTTGTTGTTGTTGTTGGTGATGTTGTTGCTGTTGTGTTTCATATCTGAAGAAAACGATTGTTGATCCTCCCTGCCGGTGACCATGCCGTTTTTCAAGTGAAGTGTTTTTCCCGGGGCTCGCAACAAAGGAATGTGGGGTCACCAAAGAGGGTTGTTGGACCCCAAACTCCAACAGCAGCAACAACAGCAACAACAACAATGGCTCCCGCCTGATACTTCCCCATTGTATTGAGAGATCGCGCTCTCGCGCCGGACTTCCTCATAATGTATGCCAAATCGCGCTCTGGCGTAGGACTTCTCGCAATGTATCGAGCGTTACACCCTCGACGCTCAGGGATCGCGCTCTACTTTCTAGAGGTTCAGTTGGGAATCTCGTTATCGCGAGAGACCTCCCCGCGATTCATGTAGTACTCACGGTTCAGCAGCCCGCCTGCTCGACCTGGCCGCCTGGGCCCGCAGGGTCTACCAGCCCGATTTGCCGTTTGGTTCTGCCACGTGTTTCCTGTTCCTGGTCCCCCTTTTGCTAATCCCGTGCTCTACTATCCGTCCATCCGTCCTCCGTTCCCCTATTTCAGGGGGTGCACCAATTCCACGCGACAGGTAAGGAAGATATACCCCAGAGGGGTACGATCGAAGACGAAGAAGGCGGGTACGAGGGTTTGGGATATCCGTGGTGAAAGGCACGCGAGAAGGTAAGAGCGAACAGTCTTGACACGAGTGAGGTTGTTGTTGCCATTGTTGTTGTGGCTGTTGCTGTTGTTGTTGTTGCTGTTGCGGTTGAATTTGTATGTCTAACAATTGTTGGTGATCCCCCCTCACCGGTAACCATTATATGGTTCGTTTGAAGTGTCGCACCCTGGGTGTTGTTTACAAGGATCAGCGAGGTGCCACCAAACTGTGCCCCTTAGCCCTCGGCTTGCAACAACAGCGGCGCCCGGCTGATACTTCCTCACAATGTATTCCCAAATCGCGCTCTCGCGCGGGACAGTCTTTCAATGTATTCAGACGCCGCGCCCTCGACACTCAGGAATCACGCTCTCGCTGTGGATTTCTACATGATTTATGCGGGAATCGCGCTGTTGCTGGAGACTTCCTCGCGATTCATGCAGGACGCACGCTTCAGCAACCCGCCTGCTCGACCTGGCCGTCCGGGCCCGCCTTCGCGACCCGCCTGCTAGGGTCTATTCGCCCGATATGCCCGTCTGGTTTTGCCACGTGCTTTCTGCTCCCAGCCCTCATCCTGGTATGCTCTCTCGTGCTCCATCCTCCTCCCTCCCCCTTGTCTTGTCCCTTCCCTTCCATCCGTCCTCTCTTCCCCTGCCTTAGGGGCTGCACGCAGTACACGTTGCAGGTAAGAAAGATCTACCTCCAAGGGGGTACAATCGAAGCCGACGAGGCCGGGTATCGAGGGTTTGGGGTAACACGTGGTGATTGGCACGCGAATATGTAGGAGCGAACGCTCTTAACATGATGACTGTTGCTGTTGGTGTTGCAGTTGTGATTGGTGGTGGTGGTGGCATTGTTATCCGTAACGGCTTCGCCCCCCTGCCGCCGGCCCACTCCTTATCATACTGGGATATATCAGAGTCACGTCGATGTTTCTCGGCGTTGCCTTGGTGCATCTGGCAACATCATGCGGGGGCGGATAGGAATCATCAGCGCATATTGAGACGTTGGCGCTATCGAAGACGCCTACTGCGAATCACCGCCGTCCCCTGCCTTTATGGAAGCGCCTATGTGCCGAACGTTGAGGCCAGACCTGCCAAGCTTTCGGACCATGTTTTCCCCGAATCGGTTTGGAAAGCCTTCGGGGAACACGTGGGCATCTTGAAGGTCATCTTGGCCGTCTGAAGGCCATTTTGACCCTTTCGGGCCTTCCTGGAGGACGTCTTGGAGGGCTCTTGGGCCGCCTGGGAGGCCATGTTGAGCGTCTTGGAGGCCTCTTGGGCCGTCTTGGGGGCCTCTTGGGGCCGTCTTCGGCCTCTTGGGCGATCTTTAGGGGCACGTGGGCCGTCTCGGGCCGTCCGAAAGCTGAAAAAAAGCAAATGCCACAAACCTTCGAAAACCCATGGGAAATCAATGATTTGGGCCTTTTCGGGCCTTCCTGGAGGCCCTCTTGGAGGCTTCTTGGGCCGTCTTGGGCCATCTTAGTGCCATCTTCGGCCGTCTTGGTGGGCCCCTGGCCCGTCCGACGCCGTCGGAAGCCCTTTGGGGGGCCTCTCTGAGCCGACTTGGGGCCCTCTTGGAATGCTCCAGAGCCGTCTTGGAGGCCATCTTGGGCGTCTTAAAAGCCTCCTGGGCCGTCTTGGGGGCCTCTTGGGGCTGTCTTGGGGGCCGTTCTGGGGCCATCTTGGAGGCATCTTGGGCGATCTTTGGGGGTTCTTGGGCCGTATCGGGCCGTCGGAAGGCCGAAAAGAAGCACATGTCCAAATCCATCAAAAGCCTAAGGTTTTGGCATTTTCTGGCCTTCCTGGAGGCCCTCTTGGAGGCCCCTTGGGCCCTCTTGGGCCAGCTTCGAGCCAACTTCGACCATCTTGGTGGGCTCCTGGCCGATCTTGGGGCGATCTTGGGGGCCTCGTGGGCCGTCTTGAGCCGTCGGAATGCCGAGAAGAGGCAAATGCCCAGATCCTTGAAAAACCTAAGGAACATCAATGCGTTTGGCCTCTTCGGGCCCTCCTGGAGGACCTCTTGGAGCGTCTGGGAGGCCTCTTGGCGGCCTCCTGGGCCGTCTTAGGCTATCTTGAGGCTATCTTAGGCCGTCTTGGGTGCATCTTGGGCCGTCTTGGAGGCATATTGAGGCCATCTTAGCCGTCTTGTGGGCCATCTTGGGGCTGCCTGGGGCAGGAAAACCGTTTGCAACCGGGCCCGGGTGGCCAAAACCGAAATCATCTAGCACGCCAGGCACCCTTGCGATGAATCGACAGGGGCGGCGGATCCTAGTGGCCTTCGGTCCATCCCGCCACCGTGTCTGGGTTGTGGGTCTGAGGCCTCTTGTATATGTGCTCGGGTGTCGTGGGGAGCCTCTCGGGGGCCTCTTGGATGCGGTTTCGGCGCCTCTTGGGGGCCTCTTGGGGCTTCGTGACATATTTTTGGGGCCTCCTGGAGGCATCTTTGGCGCGTCTTGGGGCCTCTTGGGGCTTGCGTCTTGGGCTGTCTTGGGGCGGCCTTGGGAGTTTCTTGAGCCATCGTGGAGCGTTGGAAAGCCGTACATGCGAGAACCCCAAACTCCCTCAAAAACCTTTTGTAAAATCGACGATGTTGGCCTCTTGGGGCTCTCTCGGGAGGCCTTGTGGAGCGCTTTTGGGGCCTCTTGGGCCCGACTATCGTGCATTTTACGAGGGATCGTGGCTTCGGGGACGCGAAAGTGAAGCAATTTACGTGGCATCATGGCCTCCGGGGCGCGAGCACCGTGTAATTTACAAAGGATTATTGTGTCGGGAGCGCGAATCTCGCATATTTGCACGTGTCCCACGGCCCCGCAGGAATTCAGAGCACCCGACTCGGGGAAGATAATCGGGTGTTGTTCGGCTCCCCCCCTCGCGCGGATGTCAACAATTTACAGTAGGAAGCAGAAAACAGGACTACAACATTGGAGACTGGAAACTGGAACTGGTGCAGGGTACTGAAACCTGAGCCTCGCAGCCTGATTGCCCCACTAAAGGGCCGGCGGATTGTTGTTGAATTTTCAGATGTAGACAATAAGTATTGTTGATCCCTTTGCGCGGTAAAACCACTGCATTGTTCAATTCAAGTGGTTCTCCTGGAGCTTGCACCTTGTTTTTACAAGGGGAAGCGAGGGGTCACCAAACTGGGCCCCTGGCCTTCCGGTTTACAACAACAACGGCTCCCGCCGGATATTTTCTCACATTGTATTCCCAGATCGTGCTCTCGGGCGGGACGTCCTCACAATTTAGACGGGAACGCGCTCTCGCGTGGGACTTCCTCGCAATGTATTCAGACGCCGCGCCCTCGACACTCAGGAATCACGCTCTCGGTGTGGACCTCCTCATGGGAATCGCGCTATTGCTGGAGACTTCCTCGCGATTCATGCAGGACGCACGCTTCAGCAACCCGCCTGCTCGACCTGGCCGTCCGGGCCCGCCTTCGCGACCCGCCTGCTAGGGTCTGCCCGCCCGATATGCCCGTCTGGTTTTGCCACGTGTTTTCTGCTCGTAGCCCCCCTCCTGCTTCTCTCTCTCTCTCTCTCTTTCTCTCGTGTTTCATCCTCCTCCCTCCCCCTTGTCTTGTCCCTTCCTTCCATCCGTCCTCTTTTCCCCTGCCTTAGGGGCTGCGCGCAGTACGCGCTGCAGGTAAGAAAGGTATACCTCCAAGGGGCGCGATCGAAGGCGAAGAGGGCGGGTATCGAGGGCTTGGGATATACGTGTTGAAAGGCACGCGAACATATTAAAGCGAGTAGTCTTATAATGATTCGTGTTGCTGTTGATGCTGTTCTTGTTGTCGCTGTTGGCGTTGCTGTTGTGTGGCTGTTGCTGCGTTGTTGTTGTTGTCGTCGTCCTCGCTGGCAACCCACCCGCGAAACACCCCGCGATCCACTCCACGATCCACCCCGCGACCCACCCAGCGACCCCCCTGCCGTCCCCCCGCGACCCACCCACCTTTCTTTGACAGAAAGATTTGCGCCTGCTACGGGCCAGTTGCGCAATTTAAGACGTAGAAAAGCGGCGCCTGCTGAGGGCTTTTCCAGAGCTTCGCAGATTGTCGACGACACCGCTGTCACTGTCGCCCTCACTCTTATCCGCAACTTCGGGGTGCTACCGTATTATTTCTCGCAGCGGCTACGAGGATCATTTTCTACAACCTTCTGGCCGCCAGCCCGCACGAGAGGTTGGGGGAGTTCAGCCAGGAATTGCGAGGATGAGACGTGTTGGTATTGAGAGGTACACACACACATCGGCCAGACGAGAACAAGCACAGACAGACGACGTACTTGAGCCACCACCAGGGGATATGGTCTGGAGGCAAGAAAGGGATCTGGATAGCATGTGAAGCCACTGTTTTCATGGCACGACATATACACTCGAAGGCGCTCAGGCACATCCACAGACCGCAAGGAACAACGCAGGGAATGGCTGCAGGAATAAGACGTACGAGCCAACAGTGTGACTTGACTGTTTTGTTGCGACGTACGTACCACCGACCTGCTACCACAGACAAACGCTACCGATAAACGCTACCGAGATTCTTAAAGCCGGTGAAGGAGTGTTGCGAACAATTCGCATGCATATCGATACAACAGTCGTACCGGATTTCACAGAGGATGAGCAGGAAGATTGCATGGAAGCGTATCGCACACTATCGGTGGATTCCTATTCTCTTGTATCGCACCACCACGTTCCCACTGAATCTGTGGGCAGAGAAAGGGAAGGAACAGGACGACGTGCAGGAGGAGGAGGAGGAGGAGGAACAGGGGCAGGAGCAGGAAAAAGAGGAGGACTCATTAGAAGCTAGGAGGTAGAAGAGAATGGGGAGATGAGGAGGTAGAGGAGGAGGAAGTAGTTGAGGAGGAGGAACAATGGTGAGGATGTGGAGGGCGTAGAGGAGCAGGGGGAGGGGGAGAAGGAGCAAAAGGCAGAGGAGGAGGACGAGCAGGAGGAGCAGGAGGAGGAGGAGGAGGAGGAGGAGGGAGAGGATGATGAGAGGGGAGGAAGGAGGAGGAGGAGGAGGAGGAGGGAGGAGGAGGAGGGGAGGAGGAGGAGGAGAGGAGGAGGGGGAGGAGGAGAGGGGAGGAGAGGAGGAGGAGGAGGAGGAGGAGGAGGAGGGAGGAGGAGAGGAGGAGGAGGAGGAGGAGGGGGAGGTGTTCAGGGGTCTGCGCCCTTCGTCCCGCCCGCCCTCTCCGCGGCCGCCCATCGCGCCAGGCGCAGGCCGCGCAGCAGCCCTTGCCGCCGCCGCCGCCCCCGCGGGGGCCACCTCCGCCGGAGGCCCCTCGGGGAAAGGGCGGCGACGAGAGCTCGCCCCCCCCCCATGCTCCCCATGCTCGCGCTCCCCCCGCCAGCCGCTCTGGAGAGAAGGTGGGCCCGGGAAAACATCCCCGGGGAAGAGTTCGGCGGTGCCAATGCCGAGGAGGGACGTTCCGCCCCCCAGCGTGCGAGCTGGGCTCCCGAGTGGTGACGGCCGCACCGCGGGGAGGCGTCCATCCTCGATATGGGGTGCGTCCGAAAAGCCCCCTTGGGGTGTATCCCAGGGTCTCCCCCCTGGCCTACGCGGCGCCATGTTTCATCGAAACGCCGGGGGGGGCGGGGGAGACAACTCGCCTTGGATCCCTCCTCTCGCTTTGGCGCCGCCCGCCCACGGCACCCTCGAGCAGGCCATCGCGATCTTGGATGCCCGACCCCGCCCTGCCCCTTCCCCCTCATCGTCTGTGACCCCGCCGCGGCGCCTTCGGGCAGGCCACCGCGAGCTCCGATGTCCGACCCCGCCCCACCCTGCCCCCTCCCCCTCGTCATCTGGGATCCCTCCTCCTTCTCCCCCTTTCGGGGGTGGCTGGGATGGCGGTCTGGGCTGGGAGCCGCCGAACAAGTCCCGTCGGCTTGGAGGCATTCGCGGCGGGCCGATGAGAGGCCCCCCCTGTGCGTCACCCCTTGAAGGGGGATGTTCCGCCGAGTGCGGCCCGTGGCAGATGCCGCCCACTTGCATACAGTCAGCGTGCCCAGTCGCAAACCCATAGGCTCTTGACTCACCGTCACCCTGCGGATCAGCACAGGCGCGGGGGTCACTTGCCAGCGTCGCTTGCGCATGTCCGATCCTGCAACGCACGGGGATTGCAGGTTTGATTCGTTTGCGGACTTTCACCATCAGAGTTCGGCCATATGTCCATGCGTGTTATTCCCAACCATCTTGTGGTGTTGGGTCCTCGTCTTGAAGAGACGGTCCCCGCGCTCTTTTTCTCCTGTTCTCCTCTCCTCCTCCTCCTCATCGTCCTCCACTCCCTCCTCCTCCTTACATGCGTTTCACCCACCCAGCACAGCGTTTCGTGGCCCCATCAGGGGCCTCCACCGAAGGTCCCAATGGCACCGCCCGCATGCGTCCGCCACCACCCAGCACAGCCCTTGCTCCCTGCGTTTCACCCACCCAGTACAGCGCTTCGTGGCCCCATGGGGGGCTCCACCGAAGGTCCCAGTGGCACCGCCCGCATGCGTCCGCCACCACCCAGCACAGCCGTTGCCCCCTTGCGTTTCGCCCACCCAGTACAGCGCTTCGTGGCCCCATGGGGCGCTCCACCGAAGGTTCCACTGGCATCGCCCGCATGCGTCCGCCACCACCCAGCACAGCCTTTGCCCCCTGCGTTCCACCCACCCAGTACAGCGCTTCGTGGCCCCATAGGGAGCGTCACCGAAGGTCCCAGTGGCACCGCCCGCATGCGTCCGCCACCACCCAGCACAGCCTTTGCTCTCTGTGTTTCGCCCACCCAGTTCTGCGCTTCGTGGCCCCATAGGGGAACCAACGGAAGGTCCCAGTGGCACCGCCCGCGTGCGTCCGCCGCCACCCAGCACAGCCTTTGCCCCCTGCGTCCCACCCACCCAGAACAGCGCTTCGTGGCCCCATAGGGAGCGCCACCGAAGGTCCCAGTGGCACCGCCCGCATGCGTCCGCCACCACCCAGCACAGCCTTTGCTCTCTGTGGTTCGCCCACCCAGTTCTGCGCTTCGTGGCCCCATAGGGGAACCAACGGAAGGTCCCAGTGGCACCGCCCGCATGCGTCCGCCGCCACCCTTGCTCCCTGCGTTTCGCCCACCCAGTACAGCGCTCCGTGGCCCCATGGGGGGCTCCACCGGAGGTCCCAGTGGCACCGCCCGCATGCGTCCGCCACCACCCAGCACAGCCCTTGCCCCCTGCGTTCCTCCCACCCAGTACAGCGCTTCGTGGCCCCATAGGGAGCGCCACCGAAGAAGAGATTCACCATTGCGGTGCCCACAACTGCATATGGTTGGGTCTTTCGCCAGGCTACGTGTGTGTGTGTGTGCCGTTCCCGCCGCGAGCCTCTCTTCGTTGGACGTGTTGGGGTCGGCGAAGGGCGAACAGTGGCTCAGGGTCACAGGTTCCGAGCGGCCGTCCACTGACCATTGGCGCCCTGCGCACCGAACTCCTTCAGGCTGCGTGCCCTCAGTTTCCTCTTCCTCTCCTCCCTCTCCTTCTCCTCCTCCTCCTCATCCGTCTCCGTTTCCGCCTCCTTCCTCATCTTCCTTCTCCTCCTCGTCCTCCTCCACCTCGTTTTGTCCTCCGCTTCCTCATCCACCTCCTCTCCTCCTCCTCCTCCTCCTCCTCCTCCTCCTCCTCCTCCTCCTCCTCTTCCGGTTCCTTTTCTTTATCCCCCTCTTCATTATCTTCTTACCGTTCTTCCTCCTCCAACTCCCTTTCCTCCTCTCCTTTCCTTCTCCCCCCGCGGGGCCGTCGGCCAGCGCACGGGACCCCTTGCCATGTATGTTGCGGTGTGCATTCTTCTACACGCGTGTAGTGATCGGGCGACAGATGTGATTCGGCACCCCGACTGGATGATTTCAATCGTCTGTGATTAGTCTGCAGGTGCTTCACCAAGGCTGGCGGTTGTTCAGGCCTCGCTCGCGAGGGTGAGTGCGTTGGGCGTGAAGTTTGTGTACTTGTACGCTCCCTTGACGTATGACCCAAGTATTTCAGAGGTCTGCACCATTCCGCCGACCTCCAGAAGAGGGAAGAAGTCCACGGGTGAGGATTTACCTCGTTGGGATCCTGCGGGGGTTTCTTTTGTATGTTTTGGGGGCCTCTCCGGGCCTCTAGGGAGTTGTTTGGGCGCCTGCTGGCGGTCTCGGGGGTCCTCTCGGGGCGGAGGGTTCGGCATGTCATTTCGAGTTGCTTCTCCTGGGCCCCTCTTGGGGCCCTATCGGGGTTCACTTGAGCCATCATGGGCGCATCTTGGCCCATTTGGGGATCCTCTTCCGCCGTATTGGGGCCCTCTTGGGGTTCCTTGGGCCGTTCCTGGAGCCATCTTGGGGACATTTTGAGACGTCTAGACCAAAGTTGCGAATATGCTAAACATGTACGTTTTCCGTAGTGATTGGGGCGATTGTTTCCTTTTGGGGCCCTCTTGGGGGTCGCACCCCTATGCAAACCGATCGGCTCGTCTGATTCAGATTCAGATTCAGAAGCATGCGGAGACCAAGTCAAGCTTGGGCGCATGGCAGAAACTCACACCTGGGGGAAACAACCGCCACTTCTGGGGGGAAGGCCCCGCGACAGCCTGGGAAGGACGACCTTCCCAGCCTTGGATGGAGGGACCCCTTCAGGCACACATGGATTCTATAGGCCCCGCACCTTCACAGTTGCGTGCCTGCCACACTTCTCACAGAAGAGTACCCCACGCATGACCCTGAGCGTGTGTCCTGCAGCACATCTAGGGTACAAGGGGTGGAGCAAGGGATCGGAAGAGAGGACCGAGGACCCGGAGCAGGGGCCTGGACAGGGAGCGGAGACGCGCCCAGACATGGGGAATCTCTTAACACACACGCAACACTTGATGCATTTTTCCATGCCTGACTGGGTCATGCCCTGCCGCACGAAGCCTGTCCATCCTCACTCTGCATGAGGGAAAGGCAGGCGGGCGGGGCGCGGGGCGGCCTATTCGATCGGCAACACGTCGGGGTTGGCCTGGACGACCTCCCGATGGACGGCCAGGAGTCGGTCAAGGACCGCGGACGCAACTCGATCGGCAACGCTAGTCAACTCAACCTGCTCAGAGGTGGCCCCGCCTTCGCGGGCAGCCCACCCAGCAAACTAATCGGCGCACCAATTCAAGAAATGCTCATTACAATCGATCGCGTGCTGCGCACGCTGCTGGGCCGTCGCATGGCCCCTAGTCCACAGGATGTCGGTCCGACCAGGACCCCGATCATCGAGAGCAGCCCAGATCCGAACCCAAAGATCAGTCAGATTGCTAGTAGCTAACACCTGAGCTCGCGGCTGACGAGAAGACTTCACCAGTGGAAGATAATCTTGTTGGGACGCATCGGCCCAAACTGCGGCAGAGCACCTCTCGCGTACACATGACTGGAGGTGGTATCGGAAACCAAGTTCTTTCATTCTGAGAGGTGCTCTGCCTTCAACGATCCAAACATCAGAGAGAGCGTGATCCACCGCCGCTTTACTGTGGAAAATTGCCAACCTTTTCCTCCGGAACCCGGGGGTCTCCCCCCCCCCCCCTCCGAAATCCCCCCCCCCCCTGCCGGAACCCTCCCCCCCCCCCCCCCTCTCCCCCGGCAAAACCCCCCCCCTCCCCTAACCCCCCCCCCCCCCCCCCTCCCGCTCGAAAACCGGGGGGGACCACCCCGGTTCGAACCCCTCCCCCCCCCCCCCCCCCCTGCGGATCCGAAAACCGGGGGGGTCACTACCGTTCGAACCCCCCCCCCCCCCCCCCCCCCCTACTCACCGCCAGCAAACGACTCCCGGTCCCCACCACCGTCCGCATCACATCCCCCACTGGTGTTCCCAGCACCACTGTCCTCACCACCGCTGTCCCCACTGGTTCCACCACCGCCCCTACTGTCCCCACCAGTGGCCCCACCACTGTCGCACTGTCCCCGCTGTCCCCAGAACTGTTCCCACCACGGTTCCACTCTCCCCACTGTCTCCACGGCCCCAACCACTGCCCGACTATCCCCACTGTCCCCACTGTCCCACTGACTCCTCCGCTGTCCCACTGAGCTGTCCCACTGTTCCCACCACTGTCCCCACTGTCCCCACCACTGTCCCCACTGTACCTCTGTCCCATTGTCCCACCGCCGTCCTCGCCACCGCCTTCACCACTGTCCCCACCACCATTGTACCCTCCACTGTCCCACTGTTTCCACCTCATTCCCATTGTCCCCACACCACTGTCCCCACCACCACCGTCACCACCACTGTCCACTGTCCCCCCCTGTTCCCACCATTGTCCCCACCACTGTCCCCACCACTACCGTCCCCACCGCTGTCCCACTGTCCCACTGTCCCCACCACTGTCCCGCTATCCCCTCACCACTGTCCCCACCACTACCGTCCCCACCACTGTCCCACTGTCCCCCCACTGTCCCTCCCCACCACTGTCCCGCTGTCCCCTCACCACTGTCCCCACCAACACCGTCCCCACCACTGTCCGCCCCCCCACTCGGTTTTCGAGGGGGGGGGGGGGGGGGGGTTCGAACCGGTAGTGACCCCCCCCCTCTTTTCATGATGAGCAACTGGGGGGGGGGGGAGGGGTTCGAACCGGTAGTGACCCCCCCCGGTTTTCCGGAGGGGGGGGGGGGGGGGGGGGAGGGGTTCGAACCGGTAGTGACCCCCCCCGGTTTTCCGCCAGCAGCGGTAGAACACGCTCTTTCAAACATCAGCGTCTCGTGGTTCCAGCCTGAGATCTAAAACAGTGGCGTAGACAGCAGCAATAGGCCCACGAACATGCCTCTAACGGTTAGACCGAGCTACGTTACCAAGTTTTTCGTGCAATTGATTCCAGGAGTGCCTAATACCATTTTTAAGACCGTCAGATAGACTAGAGCACACTTCCGATAGCATAGCTAGTTGTTCCACACGCAGCCGATACATAGGATCATCACTATAATCTTGAAGTACACGAAGGACGGAGGTGGTGCAAGAACCCGGCTTCCAGAAGCCAGTGCCCGAAGCCGCCGAGGAACGAGTCTGCTTGAGAGCCTCTGGAGGGAGTCCCAAGGCTCCATGGCCCCAGGAACCCGCGGCCAGGACACCTGGTTTGAAAACCTTCCGAGAGGCACCACACAATCTACAAAGATATGCAAGTTTCCGCGCACGACGAAATGATATGCTCCTCCTTTGGTGAACTTTCCAATCAGCGCGTCTCTTGTTAACCGTGGTAATCGCGTCGAAGTCTCTGACATCTCGAGCAAACTTGACCTCGGCACCAAGCCTGCGAAATTCGTCACTAAGTTGCCTCTCCAGCTCGGCGGACGAGGCAACTGCGCATGACTTGTCGCTGACCACGCAACCCAAGTTAGAGATGTCAGCACAACAATCAGCAGCGGCTGACGGCAGATACCTGCAGATAAGCGCGCCTTTTCCATTCAGAAGCTGTGTAATATCATCAACAGATGACCTGACAGGCACTCTAACAGATGGGTTATCTCCAGGGCCTCTGGGGATCCGATTATGAGCCTTCTCAAGGGCACCATACAAGTAGCACTTGACCGAGGGCATACTCTGGCTACACCCAGCAAGAATAGACTCCTCAGCCGCAATAACTCGCGACAGTCTCCCAGACACTTCCAGGAGCCTCGGAGCAGTGTGGACGAGGAGCCCCAAGTACACGAGGTGCCCAAAGTACCCTTGATTGGAGGCCACGTGAAAACGCTTGCTAGGGCTCACAGAGTCAAAAAACTTCTCGAGGTCCCAATGTATGGGGGCTGGCGAGAAACCGGCAGAGTGAGCCACTGCATGACAGAGCTCTCGGAATAGCGCAGCTTTCAAGGCCGACGACTTTCTAACCGCAGAATCCCAGAACTCAATATGCTTCTCACTCCAGTCGTCAATGTCGAAGCCTCTTGCCTTGCAGTATATGCGGCAGAGGGTCGTGCACTTCACCGCTGTTCTTCCATTAAAAATAGACTTGGGGAGCAGCGCCATGATACATGCGTAGCACCGCGGCGGAAAACTCAGGGTAGTCTCAACCATATTCAGGATGCCAGTCAACATGTCCAATGCATCGACTGGCGCCAAAGGTCGACGCCAACGGCCGTCGTAGCAGAGAAACACGCACACGCACGAGCGACATCGCGAAGCTCGAGGGGGGAGTGCCCTTCGAGGGAAACCATCGCCAGCGAGCGCGACTCGTTCAAACCAGCGTTTAAACACCTGGCTTGATGAGGATTCAGGGTCCACTAAGACGCTCACTTATCCTCGCTATGTTTCATCGTACTCCCCTGGGCATTCACAATGCCCGACTTAGTTTCAAAATATTCAACCCAAACGGAGCCTTCAGCCACGTGGGCATGCTCTTCTTCGTCATGCTATGGCCTGTGACCAAGCCTTCGAACAGACAGCACCTGCGGCATCCACCACTTCTCGTAGAGTATCCAGATTGCGCGGGTGGTCATCATGCCTTTATTGCCAAACATTCGCCTCAGTGGTAGGCGCCAGCGGTGCAAAATGAGAGAAAGCATCGGCAGCAAGACCTGAGAGAACGCCGCGATGTTGCCGAGCAGCATCGGAAAAAGGACACTTGCGAGAAAGCTTCCAAAACTCGAGAAGACGGGCCGAGACCAACGACAGGTAAGACAGATCAGGATTCCGAAAACTCTGCGCCTGTACACCACGAGTCATCATAGACTTGTCTTCCCGTTTCAACATCGGGCCTCGGCCATGGTAAAACTTGGTGTCATCCGCGACAGCACGCGCACGAGATAAAGCTTGCAACTCTAGGGCGTGTGACCATGTAAGGTACTGCTTACCTAATGCTCCAGACATGTGGTCCACCGCTTGCTCAGGAAGTGCAGAATTCATATCTTCAGGCATCACCAAGGGGACCTCCAGGAGACTCGAACTAGCCTGAGCCATGTAAGTAAGCCGGTGAGTATCAGGACCCATGGCCTCAGGGAACTCACGGGGCTTGTTTCTCTGACAGACGGGCTCCACCCAAGCTTCCATATCGAGGACCACATCGAGACGCGCATGGGTCTTGAAGGGGGACGTCAGGTCGGCATTTACAGTCAGGTATGGGTAGAGGACGTGTGAACACACAACGCAATCAATCATAGTTTCACCCACAGCACACGTGAACTGCACATTACCTGGCAGGCGCGCCCTAGCAGACATAAGCTCCAGGACGCCAGAATCCTCCAAGACATCTTCAGACATGTTGAAGTCCCCCATCAGAAACCACGGAATAGAGAGCCCTCGTACAAATTCAGCAACCCCGCGGAGAGGATCTGGATTGGCACCCGAGACCCCGATGGACGGAACCAGGTAAATCACGCCCATGGCAACAATGCACGATTTCAATCGCATCTCCAGGAACACCCAACATTCTCCTGGGCCAACTTGCAACGCTTTAGGGGCCTGAATCAAAAACTCGCGGATGCACAAGCCAGGCTGGACGGCAGCAGCAATTCCCCCATGAGTACCTCCCCTTGGCGAAACCACGGCATCCTGAACATGCGGAGCCCATTCGATGAACTTGCAAGACTTCTTCATAAGGAAAGCATTCGGGCCGCGCATGTGGTGCTCGGCCATGAAGACCCCATCAACCTCAGCAACCTTAGCTGCAAGAAAGTCCGGAGCAAGCTTAGACCACTGAGTTATATTGATGAACATACAAAGTATGTTGGAAGCCGCTGCACGTGGCTTGGCGAGCGTGCTAGGAACTGGGCAGGGCCTGACCACTGCCCGCGCCAAGCTGCTGCTCAGCTGATGCTTGCTGCGCAGGCTCGCCGCCGCCCGCGACGGGCCGCTGTCCAGCACGAACTGGAGTGGCAGCTGGCCCGCCAGGGAAGCGCCCGAGCTGACCTGCAGCATGCCGGCAGAAGCCGCGGTACATGTCGCAGGTGACGTTCTGTCCCCTCTTCGCACGCGTCGTAGCTCTTCCGTGAGTCTGCTTCTGTAGCAGATCGTGGTATTGCCATGCTTGCTGGGCATCCGGCTCACTCCCAGCAGCGCGTCGTTTGAGGTCACGAGCTTGGTCCCGATCAGCAGGCTCCATGTTATCATCTCCTGCCTCACAGGCAACATCAGAAGCCGCATCATCGGGACCTGGTTCGAGAGGGCCGCGCATCCTCTGCAGATGGCGGCGGTCGTTCCTCCATGGATCGAGCGAAATGGCGGTGAACTCCGTGAGCTGACCCAGGGTGTCGTCGGAGAATTCGTGGAGGTGGGCTTCCACGCAGACGAAGCCGACCACCCTGCCAGAACGCCATGGGTCATCACCAGCACTGCCAGGGGACCATGCCAGGCTGCGAAGCCGGGTCCGAGCGGCACCCGAGGGGCACCCGCGGGCGGCCGAGCCGCAGGGGGCGCCCGCGGGGGCAGGCTGGGCCGCTGGGCGGGCGAGGAGCGCCTCCTGCTCCGCACGACGGCGCCGCTGGTCCTTGGACCTCGGCGCACCTGGCGAGCTTGAGCTGGTGGACGTCGAGCAGCGTCTTCTCGGTGTCGGCGTCACGCGCGGCAGCACGAGCCCTCTCCAAGGCCCGCACCGCCTCCGCACGGTGGTGCTGCATCTCCTCCATCGCAGTTTTCGCCTTGTTGTAGCGCTCGAGCCGCCACTGAACCTCCTGCATCGCGAGGCGCTCGCACTCTGTTGCCAATTCAGCCTTCTTCGCCAAGGATGTCTGCTCAGCCGAAGGGACGCGGTGAAGCTCAGCATCCGTATAACCATGTACTTCAGGGAGTAGAGGAGCAGCGGCCTGCTTCGCCAACCCAGCGAGGGCAGGGTAGTGGGCCGACCAGTCTTCAAGCTCCTTAATGATGTGTGGTGGCATAGGCACCGCCGCAGCTCCAGGGGGGACCCCATGGGACTCATCAGGTACATCAGCAGCAGCGCGACCACCATCGAGCGGAACGTAGTTACCACCGCACAGGCTGCACCACTGGCGGTGACCGTGGTAGGCATACTCCCAGTGTCCGCATGAGCCGCACACACACGGTAGGAAGTACATCCCTGCTTCTTCGTCTTCTTCTTCTTCTTCTTCTTCTTCTTCTTGGGCCAAGAGTCAGGCTTCCACACCCAGCCCCCAGCACCGCTCCTGCTGTCACGATCACGCCACGGGGCACGGGCGCGCCAGGACATGCCGCAAGCAGCAGGAGAAATCGGATCGTCGTGAAGCCTGCTCCCTCAGGAGCGTAGGCCGAAAGCCACAAGAGAGCCTGACTGGGCTGCCCCATGATGGCCAAGAAGCTGTCCTGGCCAGCTGCCTTGACAAGTGGCAACTTGAGCCAAAATGGCTACGGCCGATCTGCTCGTCTGCACCCTGGCGGGCGGCGATGTGATCGCCAGGGACGGGTCGCCATGCAGGGTACAGTCAACCCGCATGATAAGGGTGGGCAACATTCCCAAGGGTACCGTCATCCTTCGCCGCTTTCGTTGGCCGCGCCCCGCTCGACAAGCTTCGAAATGAGCATCCAAGGCCCTGCGTCGCTATCTCGCATGATACGGGTTGACTGTAGAGTGCAGACCCATGCCAAGAAACACCCTGCTAGCCTCCAGGGTGTCCTGGGTTTCTCGGGTTTCGATGGCTCTGCCATGGGAAGCGTGACGTTCCCGCACCAAAAATCAATGGCCATCCTGGGGTCTCAGGGTTGGGCTTCTGGTGGAAGGTCTCTTGTGGTCGGGCCTCCTCTGTATCCAGCCTCTTCCAGTCCAGCCCGGCCCGGCTGGCCTGCGCCCCGCCGCCCCGACCCCCCCCCCTTGCCTAAGCCTGAGCGCGCCCGCGAGGCGCCGCGGGCCTGGACGCACCGCGGCCCCGTGCCCGCCGCCCCCGCCGCAGGGGCGGCCCGCGGCTGGGGCGGCGGCGGCTGGGGGAAGGCCCTCGGGCAGTGGCGAAGCGTCACGGCTTGCTTACTCCAAATCCCTAGTTTGTCGACCCCCCCCTTGAAAAGACTGGACCCCCCTCCCAAATGCGACCTGATGCTCCGGACCCCCCTCTTCAGCGGGGCGCCTTGATAAACCGGACCCCCTTAGCTCCAACCCAAAGAAGGCGCTCTACTAAACCGGACCCCCCCAGTTACAAAAAAGGCGCCTTCAAAAACCGGACCCGGGGGACGATTACAGTCGGCCCGGATTCGTAGGTCGGCCCTGCCAAATCAAGGGTACTTTTGTGTCCTGTGTCTCGCGACCCATGCCTCCTGCATTCCTATGGCAATGTGGCCCTCGGAAGGGTCTTTTGTCTTCTCGCGTGTCCTGTCCAATGAAGTCCGACTGTAATAAGGGATTTGGAATGTACAGTGGAGACCCATGCCACGAAACGCCCTGCTTGCCTCCAGGGTGCCCTGGGTTTCTTGGGTTTCGATGGCTCTGCCATGGGAGAGCGCATCGCTCCCACACCAACGATCAGTGGACGCCCTGGGGCCTCTCAGAGTTGGGTTTCTGGTGGAAGGTCTCTTGTGGAATGGCTTCCACTGCGTGGTATCGCTCGGACGTGTGCACTGTGTTCTCGGGAGGGATTATTAAGGAGCATCCTGGACCATCCTGCGAAAAAAACACGCACGAAACCAAAAAAAAACACAAGGAATGGACGTCCGAGCGATGGCCAGACTGTATCTAGGCCTCCTGTAGATGGGGTCAAAGTAGATGGGGTCGGAGGATGGCGCCGCATCGCCGATGCATCGGCGATGCGGCTCGACGTGGATCCCGATTTGCTGCACGTCGATGTCGCCGACGCATCGCCGACGTCGCGGGAGCATCGGCGATGCACCGCCGAGTCGGCGATGCGGCGAGATCCTTCGAGCCCATCTACTCGGGCTCTATCCAGGAGGTCTCTACTATAGGCCCACCAAAGGATGTTCTAAAACTTTGTGTGGTCTGCACGAAATGCTCTCATAATATGTCTTGCCTAGGTTGTATCCTTTCTCGCCCATCGGGTTACGGTTATGACAGCATGTTGCCTGTGCTCTTAGAGCACGCTTGGGTTCTGAAAGCATATCGTGGTAGGCCTTTAGGAATGCCGGGACGGCCAGTCCCTGCTCAGTAACTTGGAGGAGGAGGAGGAAGAAGGAAGAGAAGGAGGAGGAGGAGGAGGAGGAAAGAAAAAGAGGAGGAGGAGGAAGGAGGAGGAGGAGGAGGAGGAGGAGGACCGAGAAGGAGGAGGAGGAGGTAGGAGGAGGGGTAGGAGAGAGGAGGTGGGGAGGAGGAGGAGGATGAGGTAGGAGGAGGAGGAGGAGGAGGAGGAGGTAGAGAGGGGAGGGGGAGGATTCGGAGGAGGTGGAGGAGAGGAGTGGAGGAGAAGGAGGATGAGGAGCAGGAAGAGAAGGAAGGAGGAGGAGGGGTGGGAGAAGGAGGGATAGGAGGAGGAAGAAGAGAGAGGGAGGAGGAAGAAGAGGAGGAGTGGAGGAGGAAGAAGAGGAGGAGGGAGGAGGGAGGAGGGACGAGGACGGGGAGGAGGAGGAGGAGAGGGTGGTGGAGGAGGAGGAGGAGGAGGAAGGGGGTAGTAGCAGGAGGAGGAAGAGTTAGAGGAGGAGGAGGAGGAGGAGGAGGGAGGGGAGGAGGAGGAGGAGGAGGGGCAGGAGGAGGAGGAGTAGGGTAGGAGAAGGAGGAGGAAAGAAGAGGAGGAGGAGGACGAGGAAGGGGGCAGGAGGAGGAGGAGAAGTATGAGGAGGAGGTAGTAGTAGTAGGTAGTAGTAGTAGTAGGTAGTAGTAGTAGTAGTAGTAGTAGTAGTAGTAGTAGTAGTAGTAGTAGTAGTAGTCGTAGTAGTAGTAGTAGTAGTAGTAGTAGTAGTAGTAGTAGTAGTAGTAGTAGTAGTAGTAGTAGTAGTAGTAGTAGTAGTAGTAGAGTAGTAGTAGTAGTAGTAGTAGTAGTCGTAGTAGTAGTAGTAGTAGTAGTAGTAGTAGTAGTAGTAGTAGTAGTAGTAGTAATAGTAGTCGTAGTAGTAGTAGTAGTAGTAGTAGTAGTAGTAGTAGTAGTAGTAGTAGTAGTCGTAGTGTTAGTATAGTAGTCAGTAGTAGTAGGTCCAAGTAGTAGTAGTAGTAGTAGTAGTAGTAGTCGTTTAGTAGTCGTAGTAGTAGTAGTAGTCGTAGTAGTAGTAGTAGTAGTAGCAGTAGAAGTAGTAGTAGTAGTAGTAGTCGTAGTAGTAGTAGCAGTAGTAAAGCATAAAGCAGCAGAAGAGAGCCGCAGTAGTAGTAGTAGTAGTAGTAGTAGTAGTAGTAGTAGTTAGCGGTAGTAGTAGTAGTAGTAGTAGTATAGTAGTAGTTTAGTTTTAGTAGTAGTAGTAGTAGTAGTAGTAGTAGTAGTGGTAGTGGTAGTGGTAGTGGTAGTGGTAGTAGTAGTAGTAGTAGTAGTAGTAGGAGTAGTAGGAGCAGCAGCAGCAGCAGCAGCAGTAGTAGTAGTAGTAGTAGTCGTCGTCGTCGTCGTCGTAGTCGTAGTCGTAGTCGTAGTATGAGTAGTAGCAGTAGTAGAAGAAGTAGTAGTAGTAGTGGTAGTGGCAGTAGCAGTAGTAGAAGTAGTCGTAGTAGTAGTACTGGTAGTAGTCGTAGTAGTAGTAGTAGTAGTAGTAGTAGTAGTAGCAGTAGTAGTAGTAGTAGGCGTAGTCGCAGCAGTACTAGTAGTAGTAGTTGCAGCAGCAGCAGCAGCAGCAGCAGTAGTAGTAGTAGTAGTAGTAGTAGTAGCGGTCGTAGTAGTAGTAGTATTAGTAGTAGCAGTAACAGTAGCAGTAGTGGTAGTAGTAGTTTTAGTTTTAGTAGTAGTAGTAGCAGTAGTAATAGTAGTGGCAGTAGTAGTAGTAGTAGTGGTTGTAGTAGTAGTAGTCGTCGTCGCCGGCGTCGTCGTCGCCGTGGTCGTCGTAGTCGCAGTCGTCGTCGTCGTAGTAGTAGTTTGTGTAGGAGTAGTAGTAGTAGTAGTAGTAGTAGTCGTTGTAGTCGTAGTAGTCGTATCAGCATCAGTAGTAGTAGCCGTAGCAGTAGTAGTACTAGTAGTGGTATTAGTAGTAGTAGTAGGAGTAGTAGTAGTAGTAGTAGTCGTCGTATTAGTGGTAGTAGTGGTAGTAGTGGTAGGGTAGTAGTAGCAGTAGTAGCAGTAGTAGTTTTAGCAGTAGTAGTAGTAGTAGTAGTAGTAGTCGTAGTAGTAGT